TAGTTAAGCATATTTACATATGCTTAACTATTAAATTAATTTTTTTTTGAGCGGTGGCAGTTCGCTATAACTTACCAGAGAGCACAATTTGAACTTTTGTGTCCAAAAACTAGTCCAGGAAGAGTTTTTTACACAAACGAATCCAAAAATTGCAAACAAGATTTTTTATCAGCATAATCATTTTTAACCGTTTTCATCGAAGTAGTCTATTATTACTACTCCTTTGCTGAACCATTTTGTTTATAAACTAAGTCAGCGTATTCAAGGTACTCCAACAGCTCAAAAAGGAATAAAATCAAACTAAAAATGGATCTAATATTATGAATCAATTTGATTGAGGGATCCTCACTCTTTTTTTATAGCTGGTTTTTCTAATTTTTTTATTCCGGGTTTATTTTTTCTCGAGCTCTATATTTTTGAAGAGTGTCTAAATGAGTGAACGTTTAATGTAGGACTTTTAACAAAAATTCAGGTGCATATGAAGATAATTTTTCTGATTAATCTCGTTTGTGTTACCCTAGAAACTAGAACAGTGAAGCGAGAAACGCCGGTACTTTTGTATGCATAGAAGGGCATCACTAGTTTATATTAAACAAACTGTCCAGTCAAAAGAAAGTAATAACCCGGGTTGACCTCCGTAGACCAAAAATTCTAATCATACAATTCCATAAATTAGGTCTATGGAAAAATCCTCTCATACAATCTTTATACATTTTTCTAAAATGGTTTCATCGAATTTTCATAGAATTTTTTTCTTGTTGTGGCACTAAAGGTGTATTGCACTAAAGTAAAAATATTTTTTTTAGTTAAAAAAAATGCTAATCATACAGTTTCCATATATAGAAATTGCATGACTAACGTTTTTTATAGCGAAAAATAACTTTGAAATTGCGCTAAAACATTTTTTTTCAACCGCAAATCGATCTTTGTAATCAAATGAACTTTTTCCGAAAAATTTTTGGATGCAAAATTTAATTTTTTTTTGTGCGCGTAACGTAGTCCTGGATACACAAAAGATGGATGTTTTCCCGTTTTTCTTGGTAACTTTTTTCAAATGGGCTAAAAACTCCTACTTCTCTTGTATGGCATGTTATCTATTCCTCGATCAGTGCCTGATAATTTGAAAATTTCTTATGTTCAAAATGTTCATCTTTGAAAATTTTGACAAAATTTAAATGTTTGACGCTTTCAGTACATCATTTGTTCAAGTAAAATCTTACGCAATTCAGGTCGTTTCAAATGCATTGTAAATGCAAGACGATCAAACCTTTGGTGACTCTAATTTTGAGTAAGTCATGGCTTTAGTTACTTGTGTTCGGTCAAAAACGTATCCTATAACTTTTGAGAAACCAAATTTAAAAAATCAATTTCTTTAGTTTATGGGAAAATGTTATCAAACAATTTCCATATATGAAAAACCCTCAATCATAGACCTTTCATGCAATTTTCTGTTTTTATGGAAGTGTATGAAAAGTGTATGATTAGCATTTTTCCATTTATGAAAGTTTTGTGATTAGCATTTTTGGTCAACCGGGAAATGCCTGATTTTCATATATATCGATTTTCTCATATTCATATATAATCAAATAAACTAAGATATCGAAATCTATTAAATCAAAAAAGAATTGTAGATTAAAGGCAGGCTTCTGAGATAAAATCAGTTGTCGGTTCTCATAAGTAAGTTTGCAAAGAAGGAGAACCGGTCTGAATCTCCACTGCCAAATTTTCAAGCGAACAGTCCAGTTCACTTTTTATTTTCTGAATTGTTTTTTATTTTTAAATTTTTCTAACTCCTTATAATTTATTAGTAAATTTTTCATCAAGAATTAAACATAAATAAAATAGGGAGGCTTTTGAAAGTATTCGAAAATACTCCAAGAAAAACAAATTAGCGGCAATGGGCAAAAAAGAGAAAGCGGTAAACAGTGACGTACGCCCATCAACCCAACAGAAGAGCAGCAGAAATCAAAAGAAGAATCAAAACAACCGCTGGTATTATCCGCTCGAGATTTCGCAGCAGTTCGTCGTAAGACATTATCTAATTCGATGAACTGTTAAATTCGTAAAAACTTAACCCAAAATAAACAAGTAGAGTTCTTCTAGTTTACTTTTTAGTCCGACTTATATTTATACTTACCGCTAAATTAACTTCATTTTTATATCTTTTTAATTAGTCCATAAAACCGCACAGTTTTTGTTAGTATGTACCCAGACCGAAATGTAGGTCTATAGGATAGATCGCAATTAAGATTAGACTACTGATAAATACAAGATAAGCGCATATCATGGCGTACTCGTTGCATTCATCAGTACATCATATGCTACGATAAGCGTTAATTTGTGAAAAGAATAGGCCTCATTTCTCAACCAACGAAACTTTTAAAGTAAAATTTTTTTAGCCATTCACGAAAGTTGCGTTTTTGGTGCACAGTTCTCTTTGGAAATTTTAAGATTAACTTAATTTGCTAATATCACCGAATGCTGATTATCTGCGTGGTAACTGCCAGTTACACTCAGGGTTTTGTTTTTACAAACCATTCCTAGTTGGTGTGTTTCGGATGAAACACAAAATTTCGAAACAGTTTTTTTATGTATTTTTTATGGGGAAATTGCTTATAATACAATTTCATAGTAATGAACAAAATGCTTATCATACAATTTCATAGTAAAAAACTGTTTCTGCATTTTTTGTACAGTTTTACTGGAAAAAAATATAGCAAAAATATGTTATTTAATTCCAGAATGGGGCAAAAATTAAATTTAAAAACCTTCATGGTATGTAAAAAATGCTTAATTTTGATAAGCATTTTTTTCATAGTATGAAAATGTATGATAGGCATTTTTTGTCAACTCGGGAATATAGTTGAAGAGATACCTCTTATGCTTGGACCGAATTTAAGTTTCTGCACCTGTTATTCTTTCTCAAAACAAAAATGTCAAAAAAGAGAAGTTTTGAAAATGTTTTCGATTTTAAAAAATTGTTCCAACCCCCCCCCCTTCACCGCCTCATGCACCATGAAGTTGCAAATCTGAATCTGTAGCGTATAGTAATGCATTACTCGGGATCAATTAGCTCGCATCAAATTAATTAGGATTCACCTTTTGTCGATGCATTGGGTTCACCTTTTGCGGTTGCAGATAAACAAAGATAAAATAAAAATCACAATTAAAAACTAAATTTGATAGAACATTTAACATTTTAAATTTGATAAGACATTTAGTAACAATCTATCTAAATTCTAATTATTTTGACTTTACACAAATTAGTGAATAAATAATATGCATACGGCGCCAACAGAAGTTATCAATGGACATTTGCTAAAAGATTATTAATTACACGCTCCTGGCAGAAAAAAACTCAATTTTTAAAAATAGATATTCGTTAATTTTATGTAAATATGGTTGAGCCGCACCTTTTTGACGCAACATGCATTCAGAGAAACACGAAAAATTAGTTGACATATAAATTTTAATTTAGTTCTTGGTCAGAATTCTTAGTTTATATTTTATCTTCAGACTTGATTTACGTAACAATCCCGCATCAGCATAGAATATGATTACTAATCTTCACTCGCAATCATAAAAATCAGTTAGTAAAAGTCGGCATATAATTATTAACTTATGTCATACTATCTTTATCTAAGGGAAAGGTAAACAAGAATTTTGCCTTTGATTACTCTGCGGGGCGTTCAACAGTGCCGAAGTACAACAGTGCCGAAAAGGAGGGAAAATTTCAGAATAAATTAAACGCATTTTCTAACGTTTTCTAAAATGCGGGAATTAACAAAAACGCTAATTAACAAAGAAATTCACCGCAAATTAAACAATTATCTTGGCGCCAAAATGTCTAAATTGCAAATTTTCTCGCTCAAAATCTAAAAGTGGCACTTGAGATTGTAAACGTTTGGTGGGTATTCACAACTACCAAAATGATAAATCAGTCCCATTTGTACCAAAATAAAAAATCAATCGCGTAAGTACCAAAAATATTCAATTGGCCTAAGAATATTAAGCCGACTACTTTAAGCTCTTGGTTTAAGGTCGCCGGTGGGCGCACTACGCGCGCGTCGCCGCTTAGCGGCGATAACCGGCCCTAATTTTCGTATAGAGTCCTACCCTCTGTCGGCAAGCTCGCAACACGTTGGCGCGACTGCGGCGGTCACTATTCTGCTGTTTAGTTTTCTTCTGTTTGAACAGTAGAAAATTAATGTAATAATTCGTTTTCTCACAATTCGATTTTTCAGAAATCGAGCTGACTAATTTTGGTACAAATGGGACTGATTTTTCATTTTGGTACAAATGACCGTTGGTACAAATGGGACGCCACCAAACGTTTGCCGCAGCACTTAATATGTTGAAATTTTTTTTTTCAATTTTTCGGCACTGTTTAACAAAGTTTTCATTTTCGGCACTGTTGAACTAATTTTTTTTTCGGCACTGTTGTACTGCCTCATTACTCTGTAATCAATATTACTTTCTTTTTTGATCAGGTAAAAGTATAATTTTTTTATTTGTTCAAGTGCTTTCGGAAACTGTTGCAATATTTGGTTACGTAGCAGTATTTAGACAACCGCGTATTCAGACACTGTATTAACCAATCAGAATCGGGACAAAGGAAGAAATGAATTTAATCGCGTCCAGACAATTCGGCCAAAGACAATTCAGCCAAAAGTATGCAGACAATTTTGCCAGAGACAATTCAGCCAATGATAGTGACCGCGGCAGTCGAATCAACGTTTTGCGAGCTTGTCAACAGAGGGTAGGATTAAATACGAAAATTAGAGCCGGTTATCTTAAACCGAGAAATAACTCCAATTCCGATTTTTTTCTTTCGAATCTAGCGTTTTGTAAAACTGGATGAATTGTCTCAGGCTGAATTGTCTGTACATTTGTGGCTGAATTTCAAATTAGCTGAATTGTCTGTGGCTGAATTGTCTGTGGCCGAATTGTCTGGACGCGATTAAATTCATTTCTTCCTTGTCTCGATTCTGATTGGTTAATGCAGTGTCTGAATACGCGGTTGTCTAAATACAGACCGCAATCCCAATATTCATAGCTCCACATCTTTGTTCATTCACGCCTTCGCAATTTTTTCGATTGTTCTTTTAGCTCGATTTGATTCACACTTTCACATTCGATGTCGTCAAAGTATTTCCCAAATGATTGACACCTCTTTGACAGCAAAACAATCGCTTCAAGGTCGTCCAAATTTGTTTCAACTCGGAGAAGAATTTCTTCTGAAAGATAGCATACACTAATGGGTTCGAGACAGTGTTGAAAAGAGACAGCATGTATGTCATGATGAAAATGTCTGACATGGTCTGGCTTTTAGATAGAGTTGGGATTGTGTGGAACAGAAGCTGACTGGTGATGCTTGGCATGGTTAGGGTGATATAGACGACACAGATGTAAATGCAGATACGAGTCGTTTTTGAACCTAAACAACTTAGTTTATTGCTCTTCCTGTTAGTTAACTGCTTCCTGTTTATAACAAGCATTGGCCTAATGAGTTTCAACTCTATAAAAAACAGCTTGTCCGTAAGTACTGCTGATGAAAAGGAGTATGTCCGACCCATGAGAGTATTTGAGAAAAAAGCATCAATATCAATTATTGTTCCCACTTTCGAAAAAAGTTAGGAATATATAGACTATGAGTGAATTTTTCATTCAGAACAATAATATTCCCAGTTAATGAGCACAAACAATTTCCTATTTTGATTTTTCAAATCATACAAATATTGATTTTCTAGAGGTATGTATTCAGGGCGGATCTAGGATTTTCTCGAGGGGGTGGGGGTTATGATTATTTTTTTTTGCAAATTTTGACCGGTTTCATAGTTTAACATAATTGGTTTTCCGAGCTCTCCCAAAACACTAAGAAGACACTCTTTTGGCCAAAAATTTTGCACCGCGAAAAAAAAGTGTTTTTAGGCACTTTTTAGATCAATCGCGGTTTTTGTCGCCTGCTTCCCCTTCAAAAATTGTAGATATTGGTGCCTAAGGCGCCTTTAGAAAAAACTTTGGATCAATCAGCCGAAATTGGAGGTCTTAAGGGTATACCAAAGGGGGCACGTCAGGATTTAGGAGGAGGGGTGCGGGGGAAACGCTCTTACTTCTCAGGGATTCGACCCCTTCACCAACTAAAGGGTCCCCTTTTGATATTATTTTTTGCTATCCATTTTACCCTGACCAACCCTTGCGTTTTTCTAAAGGTGTCTTTGGCACCATTGTATAGTAATTTTAAAGGGGAGCGCACTCCGAAATAAACGCAACTTTTTAGTCAAAATTTTCCGAAAACGGCTTTTTGACCTGTTTTTTTTTTTCAAGAAGTTGCCTGCGGTGCAACGTTTTTGGTCAAAATACGGCCTGTATAAAGTTCTGGGAGAGCTCGGAAAATCAATTTGGTCAACCAAAAAAAAAATCAACAAAATTTGCGAAAATTTTTTGAAAATCCGCTCCTCCCTCCTAGAACAAATTTTAGCGAATGGCTGAGTTATGTATCATTTTAAAGCCATTTTGAACGTTATTCGAAGGTCGTTCAAAAACTTCCAAAACTTTTTTCCCAGTGTTGGGAAACACCGGGTTACATTTTTGAGTCTAAGTCCAATTTCGAGCAAGTAAAGCGACCGAGTTAAGTTCGTTATATACAAATAGTGGCCATTTCGGCCGAAAAAACTTAATATTACTTGAGCAAACTTGTCCCAGAAGCTTCATCAAACGCTTTCTGCGCCATAAAACTTTTCATAAAAATTTGAAAGTTGAGTGCAAAACATTAAGAAAATCTTAGAAACTTTTTTGGATTTTTTTTTCAATTGTTAGATGATTTATATTTTGAAGAGAATGTAGTATTTAACGCATAGTTTAATAACTTTCTACGCTTTGTGTAAATCTATAAACTCACCATGCAGAAAAAACGACGCTAATATGAAGACAAAAAAAGTTTTTCTTTTGTAATTTTTTTACGAATGTGGTCGGAACATTCTGTGCAACTTGCACAGCAACCGGCTATCCTTGTTACTATATATAAATGTTTTATTTTTTTTGGTTATTATTAGCACTAATTTCATCAAAAGAAATTTATGATAACAGGACTGCTAGTCAGGGGCGGATTTAGGGGGGGTGGTCGTACGCCCTCCCCCTAAGGGTTGCGACCTCATGCCGACCCAAAGGGTCGACCCTTTGTACTATTTTGAGATATCAATTTTTGCTGACGGATCATAAAAATTGTCTGAAGGCGCCAATATATAATAATTTTGAGAGAGGGAACGCGCGATCTTTTCCAAAAAATGCATTAAAAAGCTTTTTTGGCCTTTTTTGAGAACTTCGCCTGCGGCGCACAAAATTTGACCAAAAAAGGGTAATTTTAGTGGTTTGAGAGAGCTTGGACAATCAAATTGGACGACCTAGAAAAAATTCGTCAATATTTCTGAAATCCGCCTCCTCCTCCTGGATCCTGGATCCACCCCTGCTGCTAGTATCAAGGTCTCAAACCTTGCTCTCACAGACCATTAATAGGTCTGAAATCGTTTTTTTTGTTTAAAATATAGTAAACTTATCAAAAAAATTGAAACCTTAAGAATACGTTTTTAAACGGAATGAGTGAAAAAAGTTTCCCATTTTCTTGAAACTTTGAATCCCGATTGGGTTTTCAAAAAAATAATGTATGTTATTTAAAAAACTAGTTATTCGCGAATGTTATTTTTCAAACACCCATGAAATAAAAAAAAATCTCCTTTAAGTGAATATTAATTTACCTTTGAGCTCAGGGTTCTTAGATTGTATTAAAAGTCGGATAAAATTAGTTTTAGTTGAATAATCAGAATGGGCCTGACGTAAAAATATCGAGCACGAAAGTTACAAAAGTCACAATTTTTCTAGTTTCAAATTTTATGCTTTGCACGGTTGATGATTTTTGTCAAAGTATCGGGGGTTTTGTGAAGCCAACCTCTGAAGCCAACCTCTGCGCAAAATGCATCTGATTAACAAATAGAGTGATAGAAAAAAATATTTGAAGTAATTTAAGAGATTAGTTAGAACGACTTGGGTATCCGAGACTTTTCTTTCAATTTTTTCAAATTATTACTTTCAAATATTTGAATAAAACTTTTTTTTCTGGCTCGAAACACAAAAGTTCTTCGCCATTTCTGCTCCATGTCAATGCTTTTCAATTCATTTTTTTTTTTCAGTTAACAAAAAAAATTTTGAGTTTGAACAATGAAGGCAAGAAATTTTGAAGTAGAAAAACTGAGTTAATTAATATAATGGGTTTTTAATCTGCTTACTTCACTGAGCTTGATGGGAAAAGCGAAACTCTATTAGCATCTTTCAATCACTCTGTCTCGTTATCACTAATGATTATCACGCTTGTGTCTAGACTTAACTGATTTGTTTTACTAATTTAGCACCAAACTGCAGGAAGGTAACATTATTGGAAAAAATTTAATATGATTGGAAAAAATTTAATATGATTGGATTCACGCAGTTGTAAATTTTGATGCTGAATTTCTCGGTTATTTTCAATTTGTCAACATATTTGACAAGCTTGCCACTGAATCAGATGAAAAATTTCATAAATAGCAAAAAAAAACACCGATAATACTTGAACACGCACCCCTTGAACCAAAACTAGGACTTTGAAACTTTTAAGTGTTAAATAATTTAAAACTTAAGCAAGACTGCTGGTATCTATGGTCCATGGAACAATTTTTAAGGTCTATGGAACAGTAATAAATTCAAACAATTAGTTGTAATAAAAAAAAACATTTTGTTTGTACATGTGTATTTGAGATTTTTTGTTAAAATCATCCCCCCTCACGCCATATTAAGTACAAAGTGATAGAACTGAACAAAAGATGTTAATTGGATTTTATAGAGCTGATGAAAGAGACTGACGAAATAATTCAGTGATTTTAATTTTTTTTTACATGGTCAATATTCAGTTTCGATAACGCTTGTTAAATGCAAACGTAATAAATGCAAACGTAATAAAAGTAATAATAAACAAAAAAAGTTAACAGCGCGAAAAAACTCAAAAAAAAAACGCAATGAATTTTCAGTAAGATAATCAGAAAATTCAAACAAAAAACGTGCTTACTTTTTGTTTTGGAAAGTTTTTGAAATAACTTCTATCAATATCTAGTGATTGGGCTTGAAACCTCTGTTTTACCTTAGCTTGGCAACCTAACTAGAACAATCGGAAAGATCTTCTTGCTGTACGTTTCAATCAATTTGTCATGTTTTAGCGACACTCAAACGTTTCCTAGAGTTCGAAAACTCACTCGAAAAATCAGCAGATTTCCTTAACTAATACATGCGTTTATATATGCGTATATATTGTTGTCAGAGTCTACTACCTGGAATAAAGATCAAAGATACTTGGTGGAAATTGATGCAACCAAGTTGTTCATTATAATAAAATGTAAAATCAGATCAGATTTGAGAGAAGCGCTGAAGACGCAATTTCTCTACAATTCTTTTTGGAAGGAGGAAAAGTTTGGTTTCGACAACAATTCTTCTCGATGCAACTCGTTGATGATTAAATATCAATTTTTTTGGTATTAAGTTACAATTGAATCACTGGCTTCGGAAACAATCTCATTTTTAGGCAACTCTGAATAAGTATTTCAAAAACTTTTAATAAAATTTTTTTAACAGGAGTCATAACTTATATGGATTTTGGGAAACTTCTGAAGAAGTATTTGAATTTAAATTCAGATCATTATAGCATTTACTGTCGCGCAATTGCGCATTTGTTTTTGATTAGTCTTTTGTTATCTCAAAACGAGTCCAGTCTACATTAGCACTTGCTGGTTCTCAATTTGAATATCAAAGAATCAAGTCAAAGTGTTAAGTATGGGACAAAACGGCATAGGAACAAATGTCATGTGGGGCAAGTTAGTATAGGACAAGTTGGCATATGGTCAATTGACTTGGGCAAATAGCCCTGACACCGCGCTATCATTGTATCGTTTCCAATACTTGAAGCAAGTCTTAAGCCGCCGCTTTGACCTTCGGTACGCAATCAAAAAAAACAGCTAGTTTCATTTATTTTGCGTAACAATCCGTCATGCTAAAAATTGAAACCTGCTTAATTGAAAATCGCAGTTTGATTCGTTTGTAAATCTGATATTTGCTCTGGTCAGTTGCGTGAAAATTTGTGCAATGGTTAACATACTCACACATCTCAACATTAAAATTTTTTTTTTTTAAATTCGTGAAATACTTAGTCAGAGTACGTAATCGGGAATCGTTGAGACAAGGCTTCCTTTTCAACCAACCTAAGGTTCCTTCTTTGATATTATTTTATGACATCCATTCTAGACCGACCAAGTCTAAAATTTTTCTACGGGGCGCCCGCCTTTGGTGCCAACGTAGACTAATTTTGAAGGGGAGCGCGCGCAGAAAAAAAACAAAATTTTAAACCTGTTTTTTTTTAATTCGACTGCGGCGCAAAAATTTGGGTAACAATTGGGTTTTTATAGTGTTCTGGGAGTGCTCATAAAATCAATTTGATCGCCCCGAAAAAAAAGTCGACAAAGTTTTCGAAAATCACCCCCCCCCATCTCAAGAAAATCCTAGTTCCACCCCTGCGCATAATGATAGTCCAAATAATCCAAGATCACAAAGAACTTCAACCTCTCTGAGTAGTTGTCGCACTGGCGTTGTTGTTCATTCGACTGGAGATGTTGTTCATGGAGCTAGAGGTCACATGACCATGACCTCGTTGACCTCTTTTGACTCCACTTCGTCTTGTGCTGTCGATGATGCTGCTGCATCCAGTTGAAGTTGTTCTCACTTCGCTCTCAACTATCCCACATTTGAGAATTGAACCAGACACTCGAGCTAAAAACACATTTAATCACGGTAAAATTGATATCGAAAAAGGACAGAAAAAATGGTCAAATGAAGCAAGACTTTTGAAGTTAAAAGATAGATTCATAAAAAAATATAAATAGGCTAAAATTGATTTTGAAAAGAAACTGAGACAGAAAATTGGTCGATGGTAAAAAAAAGCAAAAACTTGGTAAAATAAAAGATAGGTAAATCAAAAAATGAAATTTCTTTGGCAAAATTTGATTTCGAAAACAACCTCAGGCAGAAAAAATGGTCAAACAATAAAGCAAAATTTTTGATAGTTACTAGATGAAGTGATCAAAAACTACAATCAGATCATGATGTCAGCCTGAGAAAACATCCACCCAATCTGTTTACATATCTATACTACTAACCTTGCTTATTTTTAAGGCAAGTTTGCTTGAACAAATCATTCATACACTAAATCAGACTGATTGTATCAAGAATGAGACCTAAACGTTCCGAATTTTCTTTAAAAAGCTTAGAATCCTTTTTAAATAACAAAACTGACCGGATCTATTGAACAAGGCTGAAATCAAACAAGAACAGAACACACCCGAATACAACGTTTTTCCCTATTTTTTAAAGGCAGGAATAAAAAATATTCTCAAATGGAGGAAACAAAATGCAAGGCGATTTCAAAAAACCAAATCGGTCTATTTTTGCTAGTTCGGCCGATTTGGGACAACTATAGCGCGATATATTTCGTGCTTTTAACGCGTAAGCGGAGATTCATTTCGTCCTAGAAATCGCTCCAATTGAAATTGAGAAGTGCTATTTGAGCTAGTAGAAACTTTGCTGCATGCAAAATATATCACTTTGTACTTTAAATAGCATGTGAGGGGGTCATTTTTTATGGAAAAACAAATAAAAAACAATATATTTTTTTGAAAACTCAATTGATTTCTTAAATCAAAGCACAGCCGAACTATCCAATCCACGACATCACCCTGATACGACCAATCTCGTTTGCAGTACTAGGCCAACTTGATTCGCTCTCTGACCGGTATTGATTTTTTTTGAACTAACTAATTACATTAAAAAGCCGAACTGTGCGCTAGATAGGCACCCAATTTGGCGTGTGTGGATAACTGGAATCAATGGGTAAGTCCTTAAGTCTGTTAAAGTTTTATCTGCACGATCAGAGGAAACACAAGAACAAAAAAAAGATAAAAAAGAGCGGTCTTAATGCAGAATTATCTTACAATAGGATCCAGATTCCTCGTGCAAAATGGCTTTTGTTTGCCATCATTCTATTTTTATTTTTCCTCGTATCCATAGAATTTTTTTGTAGAATTTCTATAATCGCATCTATAATCGCATTATAGATAAATCAACGTAGAAAAATGTTTGCATACATTAGATCTTAATCAAAAAAAATTGAGACACTTTCAGGATAACTTATTATCATCTGTCGTTACCTTTGTTTTTTTAAACTATTTTGTTCCGTTTTATTTATGACAAAGTTGAACTCGGTGTGGCTCAAGATTAATTTAACTATTATTTCTGGTTCAGGTATTCTTTTTTTGCGTTTGAAACATAGCTAAAACCCCCTGCCATGCTTAGGAAAACAAAACAAAACTATTTCAGAACGACAATGGATTTAAGAAAGTGATGAATTTTTCAAATTCTTTAATCTTTAAACATTTATTACTGTAGCCAGAACATTTATTTCCTCATTTTACATCGACCAAAAACTCTTGTTGGTGTACAACTTTACTCTCCAAGTCGACATACAACTACCACTCCACAATATCGAATATCAATACAAGCGTAGTCTTCGGAGTCGACTACTAATCTGAAATTGAATACTAATATAAGCAAAGAATCAATTGGGGAATGCATGTTGATTTAATTTCCCACTCTTATGCCGACAGCGGTGCTTTCTTAGGTCGTTTTGAGGCTCAAGTCGAGATTTTTTTGAAGAAAAAATTGAGTGAGTTTTTCACCAATCAACTATAACTTTTTATTTAATAAAACCTACTCAAAATTTTGGAAACTGTTCAAACTTTTTTTAAACATTTTGAAAGTGCATTCGAAAGTGGTTCAAAATGATATACACTTGACCCACTCCTTAGTCAATTGTGGTACCTTGCGTAAAAAAAACTAAGAGACATTTTTAATAGTTGGAACAAAAACTAATCAAAACATCAGAACAGTTATGTTTTTGTAATCGGCAAAACAATCGATGCACTGCAATAAATGCTTCTAGAATCTATATCTGATCTTTCAAAAATTGTTTTTCTTAGGATCTGATGGCTCTATAGGAAGTACTGAGCAAAGTCAAGGAAGGGGCTGCTCATCAGTGAGAAACAAAAAAGTAATCAAAGAAACACGAACGTAGTATAAGTTTACTAAAACGACTTAAGTGTTTTACATACAGTTTGATGTATAGCTTTCAAAAACCGACAACAATTAGAGCAACGCTAAAGCAAGGAGATTTCAAAGAACAAAATAGCCGATTCGTTCTCTGGTAATGTTCTTTGATCCTGATTAGGGCTGAAATGCCAGTGATTAGCTCTAAAACCCCAGTTTTTTAATGCTTTGTTAATTTGACTATTTGAAAAACGGGGAAGAATTTTGTATTAGGGTGTTTTTTAAGTTTTTTTTCTCTTTTTTTTCACAAAAAATCAGCTATCAAAGAGAATAAAGGTTATATCAAATTAAAGCCCTTACAGTCGCAATTCAAACGATATTTAAGTACATCAAAATTTTTTCTCAGTTTCAAGAAAACCGGGTTTTCAGTTTTTGGGCTTTTCGTCTTATTTTGAGTGAACAAAGCGAGCGAGCAGGCTCACAATACTTTAATAAAATGGCTTAAAAGCTTACAATAGCTTATTTTAAAACGTGGAAATTTAGTTTTACTCGAGTAACGCTATTTTTTTTTCAGTTTTTTTGAGAACCAAAAACTTCAAAAATTCGAAAAATGCAGAAAAAAAGGAAAAAGTTATCAAAAATTTTTTGAACTCTTTTTTCGGTTTTCTAACCATTTTCTACAAAATACTTTTAAATTTGCTTGTCTTAAAAAGAATTTCGAATATGCCGAATCTCTACTTTTTTGTTCTGACTGAATAAAAACTGACTGAATAAAAAACCACACCAAGTATAAATATTCCACACTTTCTTCAAAAGTTGGAAAACATTTTTGGTTTTGTATTTTATGGATACTTCCAGTGGATAAAGCAAGTGTTAGTTATGGAGAGTTTTAATGCAATTCTTATGATAAAATTGCGTTACAAACCTCCATGACTAACACTTGCTTTATCCATTGGAAATATACATTTAAAAAAAAACAAAACAAAACGAAACTTGTTTCTTTCTAAAATCAATTTGTAAAAATGTTGAATGGTTTCGAATGACAACAGTTTTCGAAGACAAAAAGCAATTGGAAACTCACACTCTAGACAAATTTAGAGATATATCATAAATTTTAACCCCATTTTGACAAGCTGTGTAACCCCCATTGGTTTTTAAAGCTTTATCAAATTTTGAAGAAAAAGATATCATCACCCTCCAGATAGAACAAGTTAAGATCTTCTACTCCAGCATTTAAATCGGTTAAAATATGCTCAGCGCTGCTTGTAAAACGAGAGCTTTTTTATTGGCTGAAACTTACAACATAGAATCATATTAACCATCCTCCCATCCCCCCCAAACGGCGGGGGAGGGGGCAGAGAGTATGTTAATTGTACTTAGGGAATTTTTTGCTAGTTCAGTTTATAAACAGTGTAAGTGATTACGTGACGCGTATTAGAGGTGATTTTGTGTCATCAACTTTGTTGAACTGGAGCAAAATGAACATGTCTTTTCAGTGCGGTGAACCGTTTACATGCCTATCTTTTTAATCAGGACTAAGTGCGCCTTTTGCTTTATTCGAGAGCATTCCTTCTTCAAGTAGCTAGAGGGGAAAGAAGATCTGAAAGCTCTGAGAGAAATTAAAAAGCTACAAATATAAGAGCTTTTTCTTACTATTTTTGTCCCCACGATAACTACTAAGCTCGAAATGATAAAATCATCTTGAAAATCAGAATTATTACAATCAAGTATTCTGGGTCATATCAACTTGAAATGATTTTAAAAGCTAATCAAAGAATGCGAGCTGAAGCAGGGGCGGATCTCGGATTTTCTCGAGGCGGGCGGATTTTCAAAAAATTTTCGAAAATTTTGACGTCCTTTTTTTTAGGTCGAACAAATTGATTTTCAGAGCTCTCCTAAAGCAGTATAAAAACGCTGTTTTGGCCAAAATTTCTGCGCCGCAGGCAAATTTTTGAAAAAAAAAACAGGTAAAAAAAGCCATTTTTGGGCTCTTTTTGAAAAATTTTGACAAAAAAATTGCATTCTTTTGGGCGCGCGCTCCCCCTCAAAGTTAGTATATATTGGCGCCCATATTAGAAAAATTTTAGGGTCTGTCGGCCAAAAATGGATTTCTTAAAAAGTACCAAAGGGGGGACCCTTTGGGTCGGCAGGGGGTCGAATCCCTGAGGGGGGGGGGGGGCGTACGCCCCCCGCCCCCCCCCCCCTAAATCCGCCCCTGAGCTGAAGCGTTGAGCACCATAGTTAACTGAGAAAATGTTATCAGGTCAGCACTATGATTATTAAAAATGCTCTGCAATAAGAGAAACCAAAAATCTGCAAAAAGTTTCCGAAATAGGTCAAAATACAGTTTAGAAAAACCAAAAATCTGTAGAAAAAGGTTTCCGAAATAGGTCGAAATACAATTTAGGCAGAAAAACGAGTTATATTGCGACCATTACTACTCAAAGTATGTAACGAGCTTGGTCGCGGCCCAAAATATATTCGTTGGAACTCCGCGCAATCAAAAAAAATCTGCGCGACATTGCATGACTTGAAAGAGATAAGCCGCAGCTTTGCGGGATCAAAAATAATTTTTTGGCAGGAAAAAGTTTGTCGCATCTTAGTGCAAAGAAAATTGTGCAACTTTGAGCAACTCATAAAAGTAATTTTGCAAAATGTAAGCATCACCCAAA